GGTTCAAGTTGGAAATATATTTTTAGTGTTAGGTCGAGGATATTTGTATTCTACTTGGGTATGCATGGAAGGTTTTCTTTGGGTTATTTCTCGATATGAATTGAACAGTTTATTCGTGTATTGTTTATCTATTTATGATTTATGCATAGATGCGAGATCTATTTCTGCGGTCTTGATGCTGATGCTGATGCTGCTGCTGATGCTTGTGCCTGTCGGTGTATGATGTATGTTTGAAATTATTGGATTGGAGTGGGGTTTGAGGTTAAGCATTGGGGTAATGATTCCCATTAATACCTTATTGACCAAGGCTTGTAATCGATTCTGTTTCATGATGGATAGCGTAGGCGCCCCTGCAAGTGAGATTGGCCTCAGTACGTGAGGAAGTAGAGACATAGTCAGATATGCACATGGTGGTCCGTTGAGAGTAGAGATGGTGTATGTGCTTCCTTTGTATGAAGGTAATGCATCGGCATGGTGATCATGTAGCCATGGACTTCTTATATGTATGTAGCCCTTGATTATGTGACGAGGTTATGACCTGGTTGGCTGATGGTGCGATGGTATGATTTCTCATGGGAATACATAGGGCTAGAACCCTTTTCCTGATGAGTTCTGAAATGGTACATTGTAGTAACTCGTTGGAGTAGCGTCAGGCTCACTGGCCATTTGCTCCCTTCTCGGTCATATCTTCAGTGACAATGACCGGGATGTTTAGTTTGGAACTACCTGGCCTTGGTGTACTCTGATTGGAGCTGGTCAGCTCGCACTCATCTGTCGACGTTGCATCCGCCGTCTTGGACTCTTCCGTAGATGCCGTCTCCGACGACGAGCCCCCGGATGCATCTTTGGTCTGCGGACCAGGTTCGTCGTCCGTTGTGCTTTCGCTCTCGGTGCTCTCCGGGCTTCCTGCCGCTGGGCTGTGGCTGGTGCCCGGGGAGCCGTCTCCCAATGGTGGCGATTCATTCTCATCATGGCTAACACTGCTCCGCTCGGACATTGAGAGCGAACTTCGGGAGTTGGCGTACGACTGAGGCAGGCCGAGAGCTGCGGCTACCGCAGCTTCTTCGTCCGGAAGCTTTGAGACGTGACTGTCCGTACTCGAACCTGCGTCGAATAACTTGCTTCCACGCTGCTCGCTCAATTCTAGGATATGATTATAGCCGCGGCGGGTGGGATCCGCAAGGCGCTTTTTCTTCTTCTTTTCCCGCTTGGTGGAGGGACGGACCACGATCACCGGAATTGGAGATTGCTGTAAGCAGTACTTGGAGACGGAGCCGGGCAGCAGGCCCTGTACGCCGCCCAGGCTACGGCCACGGGTGCCAACAATCAGTACGGAAGGCTCATAGATCCGGATCTTATTCTGTCAGCTCGTCTCAAACGCGCCAAAATAGGAGGAGGACCAACGTACCATGCGCTGAATGATATCCTGGACTTTCCCCACCGCCAACTCCAAGACTAAGCTGATTGCCTTCTCATCCTGACTATTCTTCTGGATCACCTGCTCGAACAACTTCTCCGCTTCTTGGCGATACTTCCCTTCCTCGATTGCGGCATCACTTGCAATCGTGGAGTCCTTTTCCACGGCCCGTAGACAGACGATCTCGTCGCCATCGTCCACCAATTCGTCAATGAGCCACTCCAGGGCAAAGTCGGAATAATCATTCTGATCCGTGCCGCACAAAAAGGTCCGACTGCGCCGGGTACACTGATACCCTTTGTGTTTGTAGTTCAGAGTTAACGAGAAGTCTGCCGCGTCAGGATTATCGAATGTATTGAAAGAAACACCTCTCTCGTAAGTTCTACATAAATGCGGAAGTAAGTTAGCCATGACGAGAGTAGAAAGAAGGAGCAGAATCGACTTACTGAGGAGGCGGAGGTGAATGACCTCTCCCAGCGGCTTTCTGTTCTTTGTCTTGCGCTTCTGGTTGTTGTGGCCGGCGCCCGCCGACGGCGCTCGTAGACCGACGGTGGTGACTCTGTGGCTCGGCCCCGCCAAAGTTGAATTGAATCGACTTCCGACGGGGACTGTCAGCCGTGGACGAGGTGTGTGAATTCTGGGATGAGGGTTCGGAAGCGTTGGATGCGCGCTCCTCGCTATCAAGGGAGCTTTTGGGGGTGGATGTCATGATGTAGCGTGGGTGCCAATGGCGCTTTAGCGAGCGTCGACGTTGATGATATAGTATTATGCTGGTTCGTTTTCCTGGAGTTAATGCGGCCGGATGAAGACACTCAGAAGATTGCGATGTAGCAATGCCTGTCTGTGTTCTTGGAGACGATCCGGATAGATCAGGTCGCAACTCAGCCACCGTGAAGCTCCTGAAGTGCTGCCAGTGGAGTGATGCGAAGGACGCTGGGCATGGTTTGCGACGGGATCAGCTGGAGCGCCCTTGAGCAAGGGAATTTTGGGTCAACCTTCAGGTAGGAACCCGTCGTAGGATAGAATAGTAGGATAGACGAACAACTACTACAAGAAGAGCCTCTTACGAGCAGTTTCCGGATGCAGCAGGAGAAACACGGGGGAGGAGGGGCCAAAGGCGGTGAGGCAGTCCCCTGTCACGTTGGGTTGGCATGTGAGGCTCCATGGTCACGGCTCAAAGAACCCTAAGAAAGTCGGTCTGCTGGAAGTTGTGTCCTGTATCAATCAACTTGTTGTTCAAGTTTATAAGACATGATAATGGTTGATTGGACGATTTACGTAGAGTAACTCGTACTTATTGGATCCAAACAAGATAAAAACCAAACTATTCTCGATAAATTAGATTCATCAATACCTGGTTGACGGCGGTTATGATTATCAATTATGCCGTTGATGAGATAATCTATGCCACACTTATGCCCCTGGTACAAATCACGGAGGTTCCTCCTCTATTCTCCGTGAAGAATGTCAGTTGATCAACCAAGGGAAAATCCAACCGAAAAAGGAAATGAAGCCAAACGAGAGGAAATCATGACAGGACATCCCGAGGATCCGAACCACCGTCGAATCCTAGAGCAAGTTGTGTTGTGCATGGTGACTCAAGCTCCTACTACTAGCTATTGAAGTTAATCCTCGGATCTCACGGGAGTCACGGCGTCCGAATAACCTTTTTTTATTTATTTTATTTTATTTTACTTTTTTTTTTGAGAGACGGTCTTCCGGAGAGTTTTTGCCCGCGTTCCACGATAATCTCCACTTGGGAGTACCATCTTATCAGCGGGAGTTGATGGGCACAGCCACCCAGCCGATTGATCCCGGCCACCCCCTCCTTTGGAAGAACAAACAAGACAAGTGAGGCGAACAACGACCGAGTGACTTGTCTGTCTCGACTCTCAACTCTCGACCAGTGATCCGCCGGCTGATCGCCCATGTGATTGATCCAAGTCGCCTGGGCGGTGTGCGCGGGTGCGGGTGCCGCGTTAATGGATCGGCGTCTTGGATCCTGGTCTAGATTGTCAACTAGTTTTGTATAGTCAGCCCAACTATTGGGTCGGTACCTAAACTAGTCCTGAGCTAAGGAGAATCGTTATCAGCCCCTCAAAGCGGCACCGCGTACCATCTCTCTCGACTGCAGAAAGGACATTGGAAAAGATGTTGGACGATAAAATGGGAAATATGAACCAGGATGGAGAGAGAAGAAGTATTATCTATATATTTCTTTGATGCGAAAAACTATATATAATTCTAACTAAGGTATATGATATGCATCGTCGTCGTCAAGACATTTAAGGGCACAGGACCATGCCTGGCCAGCAAGTGGGGAACATAAAACAAAAGCCCCATATGAGAGTAGAGTATCCAACAATGCCCAACCATTTAGGCACGTTAGGTCTGAACGCCAGTAAGTCCAGACCATGCCAGGTAGTAAATGCAACAATCGCCAACAATGAAGATAATTTTTTTCTGTGTTGCCCAAACGCCGTACCCGCTGAAATAATGTATCGCTTGAAACAAATCCAAAACCAAACCCAAGAATGTAGGAGGGGTATCACAAAGAAGGGTATGTACATCGATGCAGTCGTCAATCAGCGAGGGCGTTTAGTAGGCCTCAATAATCGCATTCTGCGAGCCGTTCGATACGTAATACCCGCCTTCAAATCCATTTCCCGACAGTGGAAGTTCGGTCGCTTCGGCTTGCTTCTCAGAGAAAGTGTCCAGTGTGGGTTGCGGGGGGGATGGAGGCATCGATTCCTCCTCGGACTCCTCATCGGAATCGGATGACAGCTCTGGTGGAGTCTGTCGTGATGGAGAACGGGTCAAAGTAAGCTCCTCCAAGTCCTCTGCATCATCGTATTCAAAGTCCGAGTCGGAGTCGGAGTCGTAGTCTTCCTCAATTTCTTTCTCTCGAACAATGGCCACTGGCGATGGGGCGCGCCGACGAACAGGTGTGTAGGCAGGTTCATAGTCGTCTTCCTCCAAGTCAGAATCGTCACTCAGGTCGGAGTCGGAAACATCTTCCGGATCCCAGTCATCTTCGGGATCCTCCACCACACTTTCGGCCCATTGGATGTGACGGGATTCAGATGGGGAGCCCTTGGTCACGCCGTGGACGGTCTGGTTAAACCAACGTTCTTGCTCTTGTTCGGCATCGGCGAGTTCCAGCATCAAGGAGTCGAGGAGGTTGGCATGACCAACCAAGAGGCGCAAGTCATGGTCCGCCCGAGAAGCCTCCCGGGTGAGCTTCTTGCGGGCGGCATGGGCGAGGTAGTATGTTTGAGTGATACTCATTTTCTTTTGTTGACGCCTCCGGGCGAGGGAAGTAAAGTAAGCACTGGGTGAGGAAGTGTGATAGGAGGAGGTGAGGGAAGAGGAAGTAGAAGTAGTAGTGGTAGAGGTTGAGGAGGTTGTGGGGAAAAAAGAGGACCCCATGGCGCAATCTCCGGATGTTGATGTGCTTATGAGCTCAAGTTTCGAATGCCCAGACTGACGATGACTCGTCCGTTTCCACTGTGACTCAGGCAGACCTACTGTTTCCGGCGAGAGTAGATCGGCCAATGAACGTCCCGGATAGGGGGCGGTGAGTCAGACTGCAACAAAGGCGCAGATCAACTAAAATGGATCCCTTATCGGGTACCTTAGTAGCCCTAGTAGGAGGCAAGGTATGAATTCTTTCAGGTCCAATAATTGGGACCACAACAAAAGTACTTCTCCGAAGCTGCACGATGGACGCTTCAATAGTTGAAGTTGATGTCGTGTCGCGTTCTCGGGCTGGTTAGAAATAGTGCGTCGTCTCCACTGGTTGTCTGTTCAACCACTGCAGCAAATAGTCGGATCTTTTTAGTGGTGTGTGGCTGATAGATACGATAGAGATGATCAACTATGGCTGGACGGAGGGTTAACTATCGGTGTGTAAAAAAGTCACGGTAGGGGGGATGTAATATTGATGAAGGATATAAGAAAATAGTTTCCAAGCCTGGTTGAGGAGGGATAAGGACTTGATATATCCACTGTTGGCTGTGAGTTTTTTTCTTTTCTTATTTTTACTAGGCTGATTCTTTTTTTTTTTTTTTTTTTCTAGTTGATACCGAGCTCTTCATGTGGTATAATTTTTTTTTTCTTTGCTAATCAAGTTCCGTGAACCGTGTAAAGTCCGACCGCCGATCGGAACGGAGGAGAGCATAAACCCCATCCGTCCCAGCAGATCCACGGTATTGTTACCAGGCTTGGGGACCCATAAGGCAGTCCCTTCACTCACCGCCCCACTGCAACCCAATCATATTGAATAATGATGAGTCACGGGGACCCAACGACCAGCAGTGAAGGACTTCGGATGACCAATCTTTCCGCCCCGTTACCTCCGAATCCAAATTTTACAGGCTGAATGGAACTTTCCAGGCATCACATTGGATCCATAGTGCTCTATTATTCATCGACTTGGATATATCCACTCTTCCGGTCGGCATCGTTCCAGCCGGTATTAGTGATGATTACTTTCTATGTGTCTTTCTTAACACGAAGGTTAATTTCTGATGGATTTCAAATCCAATTTAACTTTCAATGCTTGAACAATGTTGTTTACTGATCTTTGGTCAGCTTTTCATGACCAGCGATGGCATCATCGAAATGGAGAGGATAATCAATACTCTGATAAAAAGATCAAGTACTCTGTAAGGTACTCGTGAGAGGCGATCGAAGGCCTTCATCGACCAGGATACATACCAGTCTGACGTTGGAATGACTTCGGAGTCAGCGAAGTCCGACGCTGGTTGGGGGAATCTCCTCCCCAGGGCTTGGATCCCGCCATTCCACTTTGGGGCCTCAACTGCTTATCATGCAGATATAGCATGAAAGGCAGAGCCCCGAGTAATGTACGCAGGGCCCGAATATTGTACAATGATATTCAACCTGTAACGAGGGTCGACAGCTCCGGTCCATTTGTTCCCAGCCGCCCACGTAAGCCCATCTGTGGCCGTACTGGAAGGCTACCGTATTTCCTCCCTTGCTGCCAATAAACTGCCGAGCACCTGTTTGGTATACATATATGCCTATCATAGGAAAGGTCTCGGCACTGCCTATGCGGCTCCCCCACAGATCTTTAGGATCTATCTGCCTAACACGTACACGACGACACGACCCCCTTACCTCTGAGAATACTCTGGTTCCCTCTTGGCATTAAACTATAATCTTGCCAAGAACTTATCCCCCTTGAACTGAAGGCTGTGCCTAGTCGAGTGGACGGGGCAACACCCATTGCCAGTTGTCTGGAAACTTTTTCGTAGACCACGAGAAGTACGAATACGATCCTCACGTTTTTGGAAACTGACCTTCCCTTTATAGTAACTCAACTACGAGACAACGGGATCTTGGGTCTGGAGTTAGCCATGTGTCGAGACACGGCCATTGTGGCTGTCCTTTGTGGACCCGTGGTATCAACACAGCCCTAGAACTGGGTCTGCCATTTTGGCTGACATGAATTTGATACGTGTACGGATACGGAAAGGTATTGTTCTGCCGACGGAGTATTCCACTGCCAAATTTATGGTTATCGCACATCCAACGCCAGATTATCAAGTCTCGTTTTACCTCGGGTTCGTCAGTGGCTCAGATGCACCCCATGTTTTCATTCATGCTCTCTCGTACTATGTCTATCCTAAACTGGGCTGGCCATTAGGGACCCGTCGGCTGTTCCGCAGAATCTACAGCGGGGACATGCCAATAGCAACCCACCACGTCTCCAGAATTCCTCTGCCAAAGGAATCCAGACATTTAATTTGGCCACAATGTATTGCCCTCGATGACATAGGATCAAGTCATTGTTCTTTCGTTCTTTCGCTATGTACCACTTCCAAGCAAGGCAGGTGTGAATTCAATCGCCATCCTTATCAACGGAGATAAATGTCATGACGTCACGACCTGGCGATCCCTGAAGGTTCTCTCAAATAAGCATCCCCAGTTTTCACTCAATTACTTCATGTGTCCACTGCTGATAGTCTGGACATGAGAAACCGATCTGGGGATGCTGTCATGTGTGAGGTCAATAATCACCTAGAACTATTGATTTCCTACCAGTTATCCCTCTCCACCGGTCATACATAGATTGCTTGATATAACGTTAATGTCAGCATAATTACATAATCCACTGCATAGTGGAGATTCATAACAGAGTTTTGATCTGATCACAAGCCACAGACGGCTGTCCCGTAGGTTGTGAATCAGCGAATGTCGGCGAGTCGGGGTTAAATCGGCGAAGCCCGTTCCGGTGGATTTGCGGTGGATCACTGGATACTCCTTACACCCTAATCGACTGGGTCCGATCTCTGGATGCCAAAATTTTTCAGCCGAGGTGTCGGTGTCATTTCTGACCTACGTAGACTAAATTTGTTTGGTCTTGCGAGAAAATTTTTGCGGCCTTATTTTAGTCTATAAACTAATGCATAACACTTATATAAGGCTTGAGTAAGGTAAGCTACATACTTTTACGGATAGAGTATTGAGCCAATCCTACGTATCTCTTCGCTCTGGCGAAAGTTAAGTTCATGATATGATGATCTTAAAAAATCTTGACCGTAGGCTTGAACAACGTCTAGCCGTCCATATCAGACCATATATGGCCTTATGGCAGTAGTTGAACACCTATTTACTGGTTCTCAAAACTAATAATCGAAGAGAACCTTAAAAGTAAGGTCAATGGAGACCCACAATTCGGAACTTTTCTCAGCCCTGGCAGATCCCTGAGAATATTAAGTACGGTAATCCGGTTTCCCGGTTACGGAGAATGAGCGTTGATCCACCGGCACGCTACATCCGTTCCCATAAAAATATCTACTGAGGACGGGCATTTGCTCCGGAGTTAGTGCGTAGTGAGTCCGTCCGAGATATCCCTCGAGGCTTTTGGGAGACCTGGTCGATGACTCATGACCATTCTCCTTCCATTCTTTTCTCATTTCCTGCCTCATATGCGCATAGTCGACACGGACTGGACCCACCTGTAATGGTATATCGGCGATTAACATCCCATAGGTCGCTGGATCTGTGTTTTGGAACCTCCAATTGGTATGAAGCGGTGATCCGCAATGGTTGGACAAACTTTGATAACCGACTCTACTACTGAAGTTCAATTGATTGACCTCGGCTGGATACTCTACCTTGGGAGCAACCATCCATAAGCCTCTGGTTTTGTTACCCGATCCTTGCTCCTCTTCTATTTTATCCTTTAAGGGTTTCCTTTCCTTTTGAGGATAGACAATGGCTGCAAAAGGAAAGCATATTGAGCTCGATACTATATCTGACCTCACCAACTAGACATGCAAGAGACATTGTGCCACAAGGCTGGTGTAACTAATAGATTGTATAGGCATATGAACATTTTCAAGTTTGTTTGCAAACTAGCGCTATTGCTCTCGACATGCAGGTGAATCGGGGGTCGGCGGGAATTTGTTCCAAAGGCTTAGTTAGTCTGAAGCAAAACATCTCTTTAGGGAATACAAGCAGAACCATGGTCTCCTCGCGCTAGATATCCACTTTCCGGATGTCTATGCGTATTCCAACTGTACCACTGCCTTGCAATGCCATCCTATGCAGATGGTATCCATCCTACGTGGCTGACCTCATGTCTGCTGTGCAGATAACAGGCAAGCACCGGATCGCTGATCCTCGGTAAGTTCTCACCCCCAGGACGGATGAGCCCTCTTTAAGCCGATGGTGTAGATCTCTATGGAAAACAGCTCACCGTCCCCACGGAGTGTACATCTGGATGTCCACGTTGTAAAATGTACCCAAGTCCATCTGTCTGGTGTCATTTGGATTGCTATGACATTCTGATGGATAGCTATACGACTACTGAGAAACCAGCTTTGAAATATCTGCGAAAAGTTCGCAGTTGAGGTTAGACCCCTATATAAGCCTCAGAATAGAGATAGCATCGATGCCGCATCCACGCAAGAAGGCTTGCTATGTTGCTTCACAAGTGATATCTTGAAGGGGTTCAGTCGGGAGTTGTTTATGCAGTTGCCAATAGAGATCCAAGCTGGGATCTTGGAGTTCCTTAGTCCATGCTGGTATCTAATAGTGCTTGGGGAGATCCGTCGTTTGTTTGAGCAGATGCGAAATGGTCATATAAATTAGTGAGCGGCTGAGCTTGGCAAAGGAGCTTTAAATCGGAAGGACAAAATACCAGGGGCAAGTCCTACATCTCCACAATCAGCAACATGCCACTTAAATTGCCGAGCATATATGATCAATAGCACATAATCCCACCAACTTGTACCAAGATGATAAGCGTTTCATTTGACCATGTGGGTATTCGTCAACTACAACTTTTGGACCAAGATTCGAAGCCATTGTTAGATAGTGCCCCGTGGTAGGAGATCTTCGAAACCACAGACTTCCCCATTGATGAATCTATTAGCAGAAACGTAAGTCTACCCTGCTCTTAGCATGCGTATATCAGCTAAGGTGGACAGGGGATTTTTGTCAGGAAGACTGGGGTCCCTGCAGAGGCCTTGGAAAGTAGTCAGAGGATCTGGAGCTCCCCTGAGCCCGCTTGAAGGCCTTTACAAGGTACGTGTCTGCAGGGATTTGGAAATGCCACATCGTCCATCTATTGGCCTTCTGCTGTATTATACGAACGAGCGCGTTGAGTCACTGGGACAGGTTCACTGGGGCCTCGACCTTACGCATGATGCCCTTGCACCCATCTGTCTTGGAAAAAGGTAACATCGATGGGAAGGATTATATAAAGGACGCTCTGAGAGATACATCCTATACTTGGCTGGAGTCTGAAGCTAGTACATTGCAGAAAACACCCCAACTTGGGACTCTTGTTTGGTGGTTTGGCGATTTGGGGGATAAGGTTGTTATATATACCGATCCAGAGCTCTGAGAGTCCCAGGCCATTGATTAGATAGTTATATCCCCGTTACCTTAAAGTAATGGACCCATAGATAGGGTTTCATCTAAACCAAGTTGCTTCATAGACTAACCCCAGTCCAACATTGGCGCTGTCATTGATGCGTAAGAGAGAGAGAGAGAGAGAGAGTGTGTGTGTGTGTGTGAGTGTGTGAGTGTGTGAGTATGTGAGTATGTGTTGTATCCCCCGAACCAGTATCACAAGCATTCAAGAAACGCAATGCATAATATATCCGACAAGGAACAACTTGCTTTCATATTGGAACTGATTACTATATCAGCCAAAAAAGCCTCTCAATTATCCCACCCCCAAACCTCCTTCAACCTCTTCTGCGACTCCGTCGTCGGCCAATAACTCGTCTCCCTAGTCGTACCAACCAGAACCTCCATCAAAGCCCTCTGCTCCCTCAAATCTGTAAACCGATCCCCACAGATATTAACAGCAATACAGAGAGTAGTAAACGCAGGCGGTGACTGTCGATTCGACACCGCAATCCCACAAATCTCAAAGACAGTAGCTCTCAATTTCGCATTCATAACATCCATCGACTCTCGACAGACTGGCCCAACACGGGGTATATGTGGTGAGTAAGCCGTGAGGAGAATATTAAGTAAGCCCATACTCTGAGACGCGACGATGTGGCAATCATCCAGATACCAGATTTTGGGGAAGAGTTGGTCGTTCATTTCGTGGTTTGGTTCTTCGTAGTAAACGGGTGAGAAGGACGGGGGTCGGGATTGGAGCCAGCGGTTGTGGAGGTCGATGAGCTCGTAGTAACGGTCTAGAGGGGCGGGGTGGTCGTCGTAGCAGTATTGTAGGGCGTGGGCGCAGATGATGAGGAGGCGGTTCGTCCAGATGTGGTCTGGGGCTGGGGTCCAGATTAGATAGGGGGTTGTTATGGAGAGGGGGAGACGGATGGGTCGTTGTTGGGAGAAGGCGACATGGAATTCTTGTCGGAAGCCGACCCAGAAGACGGCTTGGCGGAGGCCTGGGGTTGAGAGGGCGAGTTTGGCTTGGGCTTCGACGAAGACGTTGAGGCCTTGGATTGCTGTTTCGGTTGGGAGGTCGATGAAGGGGCCTGTCACGCTTGAAGGTTAGTTTGGGGGGTATGTATGGGTGGTTTTGATTGTGGAGGGAGGGAGGGGAGACGAAGTGTGTACTGTCTAGTTCTTCGTAGAATCGGAGGATTACTACTGTTGCGAGGAGGATTTCGTCCATGAGAGCTTCTGGTTCGCTGGCGAGGGATCTCAGGTCTGTGATGCATTTGTTGTGGTAATATAGTACCGTCTCTTCGTTGATTGCCAAGTCCTGCTGTAGTCCGTACTCTTCGATGACCTGGCCCTGCTTCTCTTTTGGTAAAGTGCTGAAGTGTCTTGCTGATACGGCCAGAATGGCGTTGCGCAGTGGTTCGCTTCCTCGGGCGATCTGAGGAATGGCCTTGACGAAATGGCGCTCTGGATCACAGAGGTCGAACTGTAATATAAAGGTGGCAAGTCAAGAGATGTCTAGCTAGCGGACGTTTGCAGACGGCGTCATGGGCACTCACCCATCTGGCTAGGTACTCGACAAAGTACCGCAGTAGACATGCTTCCTTGGGACCGGTTTGCGGCCAAGGGAGGTGGGGAGTATCCAGAAGGCGTGATGAGAAGGCTCCAAAGGGCGTGGATGGGCTCTCTTCCGAGTTAAACGAGGATAGGGACTGTGCATGGGCGCTGCTGTCTGGAACTTTGGGAGATTGGAATGACGCCTCTGTTGGAGAGGTTTCGCTGAACTTGGGTGTTTCATCAATGTATTGCAATGTACGGTACCCTCGCGACGGTCAGTTGTCGGACAGATGTATTCATATCATGACGGACCTGCTGGTGAAGCATCCGATATGGTATGTCGAAACTTCCTAGGTGCTCTCCGAATACATTCTATTCCGGATCTTTCACATCGCGCACATTTCGGGTTGCCATAGTTGCCTGGTTATATACAATCAACACTTTCCTTACCGCTCTTCAAGGCTGGGAGTAACTAGAGGAGACCGACATTTGACATGATGCTCTGTCCGGCAAATTAGAGAATGTCCAGAACGAGCGGTTGTGGAATCACATACTTCGACAGCTCTCACTGCAAAATGCGTATATATTTCAGCAATTGACAAGGGAAACTACGTAGAATAATACAATTAGAGATACTCACCAGGGGATTTGTCTCGGTGGCATTCTATTAAAAATGTTAAATTGTAGTTCGTGACTGTTCTGGGAGTTCAAACGCCGATATTCATTTCATCTCCGTCGGGTAAGATTCGCCGGTTTACCCCGCATGGGGTTAAGTGCCCTATTAACATTTGCGGATGCTGGACAAGTGGGACTATTCTCATATACAATGACTATGATCGATAATATGATCGATCTGCGTTCCACTGCATGTGATTAAAAACACGGCAGTTAAGGACTTTTGTGCTTTCCCCTTGCAATGCGTCAGGGGATATTAATTATATATCGTTTATGCCCCGCATCGACACCCATGATCTCTACATCCTAGAGTACGCTGTTAATGATAGATTAATGTGACTATAGCAGTAAATCAAAAATAAAAGGAGAAGAAGGGATAAAAAAAAAAAAAATAAAAAAGAGAGATACGGAAATATTAAAGGCACACACACACACACACCACAGAGAGAGAGAGAGAGAGAGAGAGAGAGACAAGGTCAGAAGATACGATCTGCGATCTTGGAGCATAGACCACCACAGACCTCAATCGAGTTAACATGCATGGGTGAGAGATCTCAGGTCGTCATTCGCAGCAGGAACTGAGTTACCGGTGCCCTGCGGGCGAAATTCGACCGAACAAGAGGTATCTGGTTCAACGCTCTGTTGGGCATCCATGCAGTCCCTCGACGAGGCTGACGAGCATTGTATTATACACACATTGTTCCAGACAGATAGATCTTATACATGAATATCTTCACCTTGCAGCTTATGGTCTGGATGTCAAGAACGTATCTGAAGAGGGGGTGGGGTAATTATTCAGTCTGAGGATGGTTGCTGCACTCAGTCTTACAACGCCACTATGTACGTTTTGACTATCGTTCAAGCTGACTCTGGTTTCGTTGGAAACAGGGATTATAATAACGAATGAAAAAAAGGATTCGCAAGGCTTACAGCCGAGCATCGCCGATATAGCTGTGTAGCCTTCTCGTCAGCGAACAAATCGCTGTGAGCCTCATGGTAGAGGAGGACACAAGTCTACCCCTCCTGTAACGGACTACCGGTATGTAACGGTTTTGATAATATGAAGTTGTTCTCTCCTCGTTCAGTTCTACCTCACTATCTAAAGATAACTGCTCAGCATGTGACCTGAAGACATGTGACCCCTCCTCTGGTTGTTCGTTCTCCAGTGATTTCCCTCAAGATGGTGGGGAATCTCGACACAACAGTCGCCATACCCGGGGTGTCTTTTTTTAAGCCCAAGAAACAGGGACCTTCCTCCTCATCTTGCATCAGGTTCAATATTGAGCGAATAACGCCTGGGCTTACCAGAATCGAAGCCACGATCTCATTGGGCAGACGAAGTCTAGGGCAGCGTATCAACGACGGCCACACCTCTCTCAACACGAGGCTCAGTTGCCCTTAGGCAATGACAATAGTGAGAGAAATACAGCGAAACAGAGTCTTTGGCGACTAAAATGGACTCAAAGCATATATGGAGGATGCCAACCACACTGGGTGGGACTAAATTGTTCTTAGTGGGCGATCTACCTAATTCTTGATCGGCATTGACCTTCTCCATGCCATAGTCGAGGAGGCCTCACCTCCGACCGATTTCTCTTTGCCATCATGTCTTCCTTACCGAACGATAGGCGTTTACCGTCTATTCAGGCGCTGCTGCACAGTTGCACTAGGGCCATTATACTAGCTTCCGATGTACAGTTTGAGGACGATTTAAGCACGTCGCAGGATCAAGCTCTCGCTGTACTTATCAACTTGGATCTTGAGATAAAACACCTACTCCGGCAGATTCTGCAACCAATAACACTGTCACCTCGCCTCTTCACGTCTGTCCTCCTGGGTTCAACCTGGGCGCTCGACCTATTTGAGCGGCGGTTGCAGTCATACCGATTATCCAGCCCCGGCAGACAGTATATCTGTGACACGTGGACACGACTCATTGAGACACTACAACAATACACAATGGATCTCCAAATGTTGACTAGCACTTCGGATTCAGACTCGTAAGTCGTCAACGGGTGCATCACTGGTGCCCATTCGTGGCTGACTCTGCTCTACGTAGTGCCGATGTCATTCTTAATGATAATTCCATGCAAACTCTGTTCAACAGCCACAATAATGATGTACAACAGGAGCTGGAGGCTCAAATCCGATTTGAAGGGCAGCAGTGGGATGGGTCCTGTGACACACCAGGCTATCTTGACGTACAGCAGGAGTATCCGCCATCCACCTATGCTACCCCACCAAGCAGTATCACTGATGGGGATATCTACGACGACCTTCCCGCCATACCTGGACCCCCTCTCCAAGCCCCCAGTCTCCCATCCAAGGAGCAACACCATCAAGCCGCTATAGAGCATGGTCGTGAGAAGGAACGTGTGAAGATCTACAAAACTCTGAAAACCGTCTTGCTACCCGAGCGTGAAGCCCCGGAAAAGCGATGGAGCCACCTGGTGCGCGCAATTAAGTTGGACTGTGTTGACGGCGTTAACCTCCTCCTTGATCTGGGTGTGGATGTGAATCAAAAATGCGAGAACGATTTGCCGTTGTGTCTCGCAGCCAGACAAGGGCGTGACAGGATAGTCCAAACCCTCTTAGAACGAGGGGCAGATATTGAGAAGCGAAGTGATTACGGCAGCACCGCGCTCCTGTCTGCGGCTGGAGCTGGCCATGTCTCTACCATCGCCCTTCTCCTGGCCAGAAAGGCAAACACGGAAGCCAGAAGTACTTCCTCTCTCTGTATGGGTTATACACCGTTAATGAGGGCGGTGAAATTTGGCCACATGCGTGCGATTCAAGTGCTTGTCAAGGGAGGTGCGTATATTGCGGCTCAGAGTGACGCAGGGGAGTCGTTGTTGCATGTTGCCCTACAGGACAGCCGTAAAGAGATCATCGATGAAGTGCTTGGGCTGCAGCCTCCCATCGGGATTGCGGACAAGAATGGTAATACGGAGTTGCATGTCGCCGCTACGCAGGGTCTAGTTGACGTATCTAGGCGACTCGTAGGGCAGATGAAGAGTCTTGTACGAACGGCCAACCAAGAACAGGAGACGCCACTACATTGTGCAGTGAAAGCTAGAAGACGCGAACTAGTTAAGCTGCTTCTCAGTGAAGGAGCGTTGGCTGAGTGTCCGGACAAGAATGGGAAAACTCCATTGCATCTCGCTGTGGAAGCAGAGCATCAGGAAATCGTTCGACTACTCCTCAACGCGAATGCGTCCCCATGTATGGGAGACCGGGACGGAAAGACTCCAATCCACTATGCCGTCGACCGGTCCAATAAAGACATTGTCCAGCTACTAGCAGAAAAGATGCCTGAGGATCGGAACGAAGAAACGCCCCTCCACTACGCTGTGAAGTCCTTGAACGTTGAGATTGTGCGTGTGTTACTATTGCACAAGGCGAAAGCTAACTGCAAGGACAGGGCTGGTAGGGTGCCGCTCGAATATATCATGAAACTGCCCCTGTCGAACGAAGAGACTGCGATCCATCTCATTCAGGAGTTCTTACGTTCTCATGAAAAGGGACAGTCGCTCACAAGGGAATATGGGTTTCCTGCAATATCTCAGGCAGCAAGAGAAGGCAAGGCGCGACTCATCCAAGAGTTTTGCCAGCACGATCCGGGTCTCGCCAACGAAATCCCACCTGCCAACTCAGGTTTCGAACCCCCCTTGCATGAGGCTATCAAATGGGGCCACAGTGAATCAATTGAAATGCTCTGCGGCTTTTCGGACATAGACAAGAATATTGTTGATAGTGAAGGGAACACACCACTCCACCAAGCCATAAAAAACTGGCAAGTTAGACCGGGTTTGCTCTCTATGTTAATACGGCACGGAGCAGATAAGGATCGTCCTCATGCGACAATGGGTTTGCCGCCGCTTCATTTCGCCGTTCAATTGCAAAGCCTAAAGAAGGTCCAAGAGCTGTTAAACGCCAAAGCAAATCCTGATGAGCGCATTAAAGGAGAGCAATGCACGTGGTGCAAGAATAACAACAGACCTCCCGGCATGAATTCACGGTGTGTCTTGCAGGCGATCCCTGTTCGAAACCGGACGGACGATTACCCTTCCATTAATCAGGCCCTGTCTCAAGCCATCCTAAGATCGGACCGCCCTAGATCTGTGTCGTCGGATAGTAGCACGAGAAAAAAAAAGAGAAGTACGTACCCACTCGGTTCGCATGTTTACACCCCAGCATAAGAAGCACGTGCATCAATGATGTGAAGTGTAGTATAGTTAATGTTGTGTATGTTTCTATGAATACCAGTTTGTGACATATGGGAGCTAGGGTCATGTTTCTTTTGATAGTTATCTTTAATAACACCATATTTAACTTCTGAAACACCCATAGTTCTTAACTGTCGGTCTCCAAAAGCATGTAGACCTAGAATATAAGATTGAACCACCTCAGGGCGTTCCACACAATGACCATCATACATCGACAGGATATCTCGTTCCACCCTGGCGACGAATCTCATCCATGATTTCCATAACGCGAAGAGTCTCTGACCACGGCATGAGCTCATTTTGCTTTCTACCTGCTAGTACATCCAAAGCGGTATTATCCGCCTCATAGATATACCCACGCCCAATCCTTGGAAAATCATACTTCTTGCCTACCTTCTCCGTCGCATTCTTTTCGTAGATCGTAAATGAAAGAGGCATAGAAGCAGCCGGACCCTCAACATCAATATACCCCTTCGTCCCCTGAATCCGTGCAACATGGGCCGGGTCCCCAGGCATCATCGTCGTAGAGCTAACAATACCCTGTCTACCGGAGGAGAGATACCTCAACAACACACCAGTTGTAACCTCCACCCCATGAAGATGCGTCTGGGTCGCCAATACCTGCGGAAGTTCCGACGCCCCAGGCGACTTAGGATCCAGGGTAAGCATCGCCCACGTGAGGGCATAAACACCCAGATCGAGGAGCGAGCCCGCGCCCAGCGCCGGATCCCTGTACCGCGATGTCGGAGGTAAACTAGGGATATCGACGTCGAGGGCGAAGTCGACAATCGTTCGGAAGACGTCTCCAATCACTTTCTCCTCGTAGAGGAGCCTGCGTAGCTCGTGCACAAGCGGGCGGTGTCGTAGCCACATTGCTTCGTGGACGTATACATTCTTTTCTGCTGCGGCGGCGAATACTTCCCGTGCTTCTGCGGCGTTCAGGGTGAAGGCCTTCTCGCAGAGGATGGGCTTACCGGCGCGGATGGCGTCGAGACAGTTCTTTCTGTGGAATGAGTGCGGGGTGCCGATGTAAACTACGTCTACATTTGGGTCGTTGTAGACTTCTTCGTAGGAGGCGTAGATTGTTGGTGTGCTTTGGGGACAGTATTTTGCTGCGAATTTTTGCCCTTTTTCGAGGGCCGAGGAGCCGATTGCTTGTACGATATGCTTGACTTTGGGGTTTTCTTGGGGTATTACTAGGTCTTCCACGAACCAGGATGAAATCAGACCCGTGGCTAGAGATAATTTTTAGCTAGGTGTTTTGTCTATTGTAGATTGTGGAAAGGGCTTACTGATAATTCCCCACCGGATGGAAGGTAGTTCGGACATGGTTGGTAATTCGTAATGTTACTGTGAGTTTAGAAACTGATAGTTGGGTGTGAGGAAGCTGATTTATAACTTGAGGCCGGAAATTGATTTCCATATGCCGTTCTTATTGGCTTTTCGAACAAGAAATACCACCAATTATATTAGAGACTCCAAGCTATGTATCTAACCCGAGAAGGGAAATCCAAATCCCGTTACATAGAATACATATCAAGTAGCTTTGGTATATGAATGCAGGGAGCATGACACATTAATCTTGAATTAGCATTATTTTGTTCTTCATGTGTCTGTATAGTATTACTGCTAACCTATTGGCATATTGTCCAGGTTAACAAGTTAGGTTTGGTCACATCGGTACCGGATATCCTAAATCAGGTGGTATCTGGCTGGCGTTACACGTTTCCTGTCGTGACCAGCTCTTCAGCTTACTTATTGGTAGTTAAGATATTGAGCTCTAAACATGTTACTCGGGTATGGGTGCTACAAGGGCTCTAGGCAATAGGACACCGACTTGGTGATGATGCAAATGACCACAAAATAGAATAGATGAGATCGTTTTGGCACCACATCAAGTGCCACATTTGAAAGATCGAGATCCCATTGTGCTACGCTCAACCTGGGTTGGATCGGTTATATCCACTGGCGCAGCATAAAGACGCAGATAACTGAAGACTGACAGAATTGGATCGCTCGCGAATCTAAAGCTATGGTGTTTATGAGATAGTCATATGGTCACAAGAGATGTTTCATGATTAGGCTTGTTAATCATTAGGTCAGCGTGTATTCTGGGGACTTTATGCGCATCTCGGGGACTCGGGGAGAAAGCGTTATCTCCGTTAGGGCTTCGCAGAAGGGACTTAAGTCTCTCTACAACCCTAACATCGAACCTACCCTACGACATGCCCGCGGAGAACAAAGTAACAGCCGAGAAGGGCTCTAGTGCTTGTACCTTTTGGTTCTTTTAGGTTTCAACCCATTTTCATTTGCTCGGGAGCCTAGCTGATTGGTATACTGAGAACTGGCTAAAGTTTTATAGGCAGGCATCAGATTACCATTCGCCATGAATTCTATAGACCATGCTTTGGTCGAATTTCCACGGCCTCTCAGCGGCATTCAGGGACTAACGCGCACACCACCTCTGATAAACCTTTTCTGATGCATTGGTATCTCCGTCGTAGCTCTTTTCCTCCCCCGAAATGGAAATGTATGTTGAATGCAGAGGATACTGAAGGATGACAGGCTAGATGAGAGATCTAGGCACCACCATAGCCAATGGCAATGTTAATCGCATCTTGTACAGAACCATATGCCTAGACATGGATGGGGTGTCTATGAAAGAGTTCAGCCGAGGCCAGACTTCCAAAGCAGCCCTTCTATTTGAGCCGTGTGTCCCATAAGCTCGATGAGCAATGGCTGCAATATAAGCGGGCTATTAACAGATACAAAACCGTGAAAACACGAAATATCCCAGCAAGTAGAGAAACTACCCCACAAAGAGCCCTACATCATCTGCGACGGAAAATAACCCTTCAGAACGGCTGTTGAATCTGTATCACCAAGAATGGGGGCTTTCAGAGTTGAAATACTGGAAACTGCGCGCAAGGTAAGATGTGACGGCTCTGGAAATTATGGTCCCCTCTAGAGACAAAAAATTGGACCTGGGAATCGACCAAGCGTGGGGAGAATTTGGGGTTGATTTTAAACCTGCCAATGCAGGGACAACCCATGCGTGAGCACTGCTGGAGAGGAGAAGTCCAGGTCATCAAACTTACGACTTACGACCTGTGATAATAGATTTTTGGAAAAATATTGAATTAATAGAAGTTGTTGAAATACTTCACTTGATAGGTGCTAGTACCAGACTACAGTCAATCGGAGATACACATTACTATCGCGCGCAGCCTTCACTACCCTTTATCTAGCCAGAAGCGCGGCAGCACGAATCATCATCGGATGCTGTGGACAGTCGACAGTAGCACGAAGCGGTGATAGGAACATCTGCCTTGAGCAGGGCAGCATCACGCCGGGTACGGGTGAGCAGAGCTTCGTAGGCCTTCCCTGAACGTACAAAGCATTCATAAAGCCCATGCAAGCCCCAGACATTGTTGAGTCGCCCACGCCGGCGCGGCAATGTATCAGAAAGACCAAGGTCCTCTCTATAAACAACCTCTGCCTCTGCGACATAATTCTGTTCGAGCAACAGAGCCCCAAGGGCGTGGCGCACCGGCTGCATCCAAGGGGGTGTATCAGTATAGGGTAACGAATCCTCCAGCTGTACAGCTCTTCTTAGGCTAGAGAATGCTAGGTCATAGTTCCCCTTGCGATATTCAAGCTCCCCCTTTAACATGGCCGACGCAATACGCAAAACATCAACTTCTTTGCTAGGCAGACTATTCAGACGGGTTACTGGAACTGCAGCCCGTGCAGCTTCAAATTGGACTAGTGCTTCTTCAGCGTCATCAATACGGCCTAGAACGCCTAATGCGATTCCACGGGCATAGAGAAGCATGGCTGTAGTGGAACAGAAAAGTTTAGGGTCTGATGGGAGTTCCAACTGCAGGATATCGTTCCAGCGGCCGAATCGGACCAGTACATGCGCTAAAGCACCAAGGTAACTCTCTGCCCAGTCGGCCATGGGAGGAGTTGACACAGAAAGAACCTCGGGAGTAAGAATGCTCCACAGATGCTTAGCAGTGGACAAAGCCTCAGCTTGGTGTCCAAGCATAATGGCTGCATATATCTTGGCGTAAACATTGTGTGCCCTATACATTATATAGAAGACAGAGCTTGGCTCATTATTGGAGAAATATCGGTTATCTGCCACCATGGCATCGTGATTTGAATGCATGGCTCGGTAATAATCACCACAAGCGATATCGATGTGGGTTGCCATATGCATCAGGTGGGAGCCATCGGAGACAAGGTGCCGCAGAGTGTTTGCGGCGGGTAAGGCCAGCTCGGGAAATGGGGACATTTCCATCAAGTGGATATACATGTGGCAGAAGGCAGGATGGTCTTTGCCATCTTCCTTGGCCATAGCGGATTCGAGGAGGGCGCGAGCCTCAAGTGTAGAGTTGCTGGTTGGTTTCCCTGTATCTAGGTCCCACAGGTCTCGGGCTCTAGTGCATACTAGTGCTTCGGCAAATAATGCCACAACATCTAGGTCGTCACTGTATGATTCATACACCGATCTCATTGCATTGGCGTAGGCGTGGTCTAGCGGTGCCAAGTCATCGGGGATCTCGTGCGATGGAAACCGTGCCGAAAGAGCATCGCACAAGGCGTGTTCCACAGGAGCAGAGTCTCTGGCTAGTTGCAACGCTCGAGATAGAGCTGCTTTTGCTTTGGGTATAGTTTGTTCCAGGTCCAGCCGATCAAATCGCGACCAGGCCTTGTTGTAATTAGGGCCCAATGCGTAGGCTATTCCCCACCAGGGCATTGCACAATATGGGTCGCATACTGTTGCTCTTTCAAAGCAACGCACCGCTTCTTCGTGATTGAAGGCGTAAGACCATAGAAGCCCTCGGTTGAACCATAGCTGGGCGTCCGGCGACCCGGTCCTTATCTGTCGAGAATGTGTACCTAGGTCATAGTACTCTTCTGAACGAGTGATCTGGGTTGGGTCCATTGTGTTCACAACCCTTTTTGACTGCATATACCAATAGTAAGCCGTCAATGAACGAGGGACTTTCCTTAGTGAAGTCCATTCAGGGTTGTAGACATAGCACTTAGTATATACCTGCGATCCACATATTTGTAATCTGGCCCGGTGGGCATTCGGGATCCAATGACTCGAGGTATTTTTGGCGTTAAATCACAAGAGATCCCAGTGGGACCATAAGTGGGGGAACCCCCAATGAAATTATCAATTGAGGTCACCTACTGGTTTCCTCGTGTGGATGTGGTTCGCCAACAAGTTAATGATCCCCACACTGTCGCCGACACCAAGATAGGGACGCCGAAGTCAATCTCGAAATACCGTCGAGGCTATAAGTACTACAACTTTCAGTCATTGGACAAGGCCTTCGCGATTTCTATCCACGTTGCACTCCCCCCCCCCCAACCCCCATATAACAAGGTCAAGGAATTATAATACACTGCTAACATTATGGAAGACCCAGTGATGAAACAGTCCGAAAAGCCATGACGATCCTTAAAATAGGTGATGAAGAAGTTTCGGTCAAGTTTCAGGGCATGCATCTGAATCACTGTGACCTTTTGGTTTCTCAGGCGATATTCTGCATACATGTGTATACATAGTATGACATTTGGCAGATCCAAAGAAGTATTATGTCCATTGAGAGCGAAGCTTTGCTATATACAATAGTGGTAATATAATGGTGCTATGGAACTTAGGTAATGGAAAGATTCCACTACTCGACTTTTGCAATATCCTAATATAATATCTATAGTTATCTATTCCAACATATGTCCCTATATTCATGTTTCTCTAGTATATTAAAAACACCCTTGAACCTGTCAAACACCAGCCCTACATTCAAGTCAAGTGTCGGGTGAGTGTTCAGCTAAGCCGTCGTCCAACATGGCCAAATGAGGATCCTGCCAAAGCTCAGGTAGGAAGCTAAGCTGCATCCCCCACGAGTATAGCTGAGGGTTTGGGGACCCGTTTGAACCCGATGCAGGTGTTGGTGTACCTGCATCCATTGCGTCACCATGGCTAGAATATGGAAAATTCGAGATATGCCCATTGTCCTCCGTTGTAGTTAAGGTTCCAGCGGAACTTTCTTGACCGGTGCTTTGTGAAGCAGCAGTTGTATTGTTAACAGCCCGAAGCGCCACTTGGTAATACAGACGAGCGATGTGATAAGGAACGGCACTTTCGTAGTTTGGATCGTGCTTTTCGAAGAATCTGATCACCGTGTCCAGAAGAGCTAAATCCTCACGAGCTTGCGGGGTAGTTTTGTTTTCCAAGATGTTGATAAGCAGGATATCAACGTTCCATGCGATGTGATATACCAGGTATCTGTTAGGCCGATTAGTAATATTCTTCTTGCGGGTATTTTGTGCAAGACCGTGACCACATACATAGTGAACGGGTGGCCTTGGTCATGATAATTCAGTAACGAGATCGAAGCCCGCGCGGCGCTGACGCACAAGGCAACACTAGAGATGACCAAGTCACTCTCTTCGTATTGATGCCAAAGAGGGACAGCCTTGCTGAAAACTACGGAATGAATAGATATAAGTAGTTGATAGTACGAGAAATGGAGTACTGTTAAGGACATCAGACGCATATCATCCAAGCCAGCTAGAGGAGTCTGAGGTCGAGCCATGTCGGGGATGTTCTGTCTCCAATTCTGTAACTCTTCGTCGAGCTCCATCACTCCGGCATATAACTGTTCCGGAGATTGTGCAGAAGCCCGCGGCGAGCGAAGCCTGTCGTAGACTTTGTTTTGGATATTCGCCAGGATGACCTGCTCTCGGAGCCAGTTTAACGTGGAGCCATCGTCAAACCTAAGCGTATTACGACCATCTTCTGGGTCCTCGTCTGGCAGACAGGAGAGTAGGTCGCGTGTAAGTGAGGGCGGTTTTGAATGGTACATGGCCAGGTCTTGCTCGAGTATAAAGGCATGATAGAGCAATCTTTTTTCGTGTAGCGCTGCGGAGCTATCTTGAGTGGGTCCAGTACGATGGTAGCCGGCCATGAGAATTGACTGGACGGCAGCTCCGAGGATGGCGGCTGAAGGATGGCTTCTTGAGGTGTATACAAGGTACATGGCCTAGGGATAATTAGCAAGGAGACTTTTGTTGTAAGAATCAAGGTCAGGACCATAAAAAGCATTGTCGCAATGCTCGCCTTATTGGGGCTCTGCATCATCATCACAGGGAGGATACTGAAACAATTTTCGAAGCACTTTTCCGCTTCATCGGGTCGCATATTGTCAAATTTGCGTAGCGAATGAGCTAAAACAATATTGAGTGCTGCATACGATGTGGCATCCAAGAAGGATTGGCCATCGAGATGCCTTTGGAGTATTTCAGCCAAGTAGCCGTCCTCGAAAAGATGGAGAGCGCTATTAAAAGTGGCAGTAAAGTCTGATGTGTATGAGATTTTTGAACAACAATATACATGCATAGAGGCCATTACCTTTGAAGCATGCGCTGATCGTATCATTAGGGGGTAAAGGATGATTGACTCGCCCTTCAAAATTACCTAATGGCACTTTCCTTGGAATCTTCAGACCGGATAGTAGGGAACTAAAGCTCTCATCGCCTACCAGTGCATTTATCCAGCGGATCCCTTCGGGAGAGAGGATAGAGCATGATCCTGTTGAATGGTGTTTTTGAATTAGCTATGATCGGTGTACCTTGAGCCTCTCCTATAGTGCCCTAGTTACCTATACACAATCTCTCCCCCTTCCTATCCATCACGTCAAGAGATATTGCCTTATCCTCGTGTGAGCAGAGGTTTATTGTTAGCGGACTTTGGGTGGGGCCCGTCGAGAGCTCCGTAGTTTGCCGAGTAGAAGTGGATTGCCCTGTCATGTTATGGAGATATTCACGTCTCATTTGACTAGTAGGCAGATGCATGGATTCCGAAATCAAACGCTCCATATTCTCCAATCGCTGAGTCAGAGCTCGATAGGACCTATGCCGCACGATGAGCACAAGAGAGCCAATTTGTTAGGTATGATTGCAGTGCATGAGTGGTACATTCTATGACTTGGGGGACGCTGCCTTATACTACTGTACTGGCAGCTGTCCCCTCGTTCTTTACATCGTGCGCAGGACGGGCGATTCCCGTCGCATCTAACCTAGAACAATCAAGGTTAGGGCGATACGGTCGAAATCCCGAAGGCAGAATGGTCTACCTTGCGCGTACGGCATGGGATGCAGGCCCATCGTGACTTGGTTTCTCTATTGGAGTTCGAGTTCGAGTTCTCCATTGTGGGCTGGTCTAACAATTGTGTTGTTGGCTGGAAGAAAAGATTGACATGAAATTCCGATATAAATTTGGTTTAGAATCGACACCAGATCATCTGACCGCCCCACTTTTTCTCCAGGCAGCCCGTAGGCACGCCATGTTAATATGTTATTTACAACGATATCAGTAGTTGATCCATGTATACTAAATCGACATATTTCCCTGGATCCCAGGCTCGTATATTCTGGTGGTCTCTGTAGAAAGCTTTAGTATCATTCTTTTCGATGATTTACGCCAAATTAGTAGAGCTCTAACACTCCAGTAAGAATTATATATTTTCCACATATTTCGATTCATATTGCCTTTATGTGGCTGCCTCGTTCTTCTTCCCCCCTTTCTGTACGGGTTTAAGTTTCTCGCGCGACAGGCACCTTGATTTATGTACTAGCAGTGAAAGTAGGAATGGAATTGAATGGAGAATACCTGATGTATTGGGTAGAAAAGTTATGGGTGGCCACTTCGGACTTGAGCGGACAAGAACTCGGGACGGCGGTGGCTGTCGCCGCGGATCATGACCTATACATGCCACTGCTAGTCAAGATCTATGCGCTGGAAGCGCCCCATTTTTGTCTGGTATACAGGGAACGATTGCCGAGGCACGGGGAGAAATGCTCATAGTAGGATCTATAGTGGTTCTTATTTACTTCGTAATTGCCAATATAAAGCCAAATACCTGGCTGGACAAATCAACTATGCTTGAGGTCAGCACCCATTTATAGCCTTGATGATGCACCATGGTGCTCATTGTACTTTTAGCTTGTTTTGTGTCTCTACACGAAACATTCGTCTTCCTAGTTGTGCGACTAGAGATGTATTGCCATGCTGTATAGCATTCATATGTCCGTTTTCTTTTCCTTATCACAGTCCTGTCCAATGTTGATGTGAACGATTATATCTTATTTGAAGTGTGAAAGTGGCGTATTGTAACACGGGGGCACCCAGATTGAAACAGAATTAGGGTTTGCGTTGAACAGGTGCATATGAGCGGGCCGAATGCCGAGGATGCCAATAGTAGGAGGCATTTTACAGCTCGGAGGAAAGTCCGGTAGTATTATCAGCTCCGAATACTGATCTACGCATGGTATGTCACTATTCATTCCCACCATCAAATAAGGCCCATTTGACGGTGAATCGTCTGATCACTCGCAAATAGACCCGAAGTACAACTGGGTCACCACTTGACACCCATTCTAGCTTTTCCTGGACGGTGAAGACTTGCCTGGTTTACAGGCAGTGTATACATAAAAACGCCTTATAGATTTTGACCCGCTTGGGTGAAGGGAGATTGACCGACGCATCGCGAAGCGCCATGATGCTCAATAGCTGGCCATCCTCTAGAAGGCCACATCGTAGACTGGCAGCGTGATTTATTGGATCTTTTTCCATGTTTACGTCTAGAGTAAGCTCCGATGAAACGGAACTGCTTTACACGTACTAAATTTCTCAGACTCTCGGCAGAATACCGTCGCCCAGCCTTTCGGCTCTATGTCCGTGATTGGTAGTTACCTTCGGAAATACATCAGTAGGGTGCCCCATTTCCCCAGATATGAGTGAACGTAGACCTCTCCTGGATGGAGCCCCTAAGCTGCCGAGTCTGTGTGGAAAAGAACGCGGGTATTCTAGCCAACAATGGCATCACAGACGAACTCCAGGTGGGTGGAGACGCTATACAATGTAATTGT